ATTAATGTCACAATGTATTCTTTGTAGATAAATGTGTACGTATTTTTTCAATTTGAGGTCGTATCCACCTCTAAATAAAGTACAGAGATATTTAACGAGAAAAGAACTAAACTAAACAAATTGTTAAACTTTTGAGAAAAGTTGAAATATAAAAAACATTATTTATGTATTTAGATAATGTGTTAAATTCGCATTAGATAAAGAAATACACACACACATATTAAATCACAATATTTAAAGCAATTAAAGGATATGCAGGCCGATAGAAAACATGCAAAATATGTATATATAGACTTAGTAGTTTTTGTTATTTTACTTACTAGGTATTAAAGTACGATTGACAAACATTGTTGATAAAATAGCTCCCTTAAGAAAGTAATAAAATTAATTTAATGCTTTTTTTTTTGTTTTTAAAAAAAAATAAATAGCATACAATGATACATGTTAAACAAAATATGGCGAAAAACATGATACGACAGAAGACGATCGAAAATATGAAAGTGATCAAGTCCAATGTTTGTTTTTTTTTTCTTTTTCTTCTATCATATGTACGCTATATACGTAATAAGATTAATTACCTTTAATTTTCGTCGTGCATTGAATTTACGTAAGCAATCAACAGTCTCTTGTCGATGAATTGTACCAGCAACCCGTTCTCGTTGCTAGAAAATAAAAATAGAGTTTTTTTTTTTGAGCTTATTTGATGTTTTTCTCGTATATTTTAATCAAATCAAGAATAGAATGCTTGATTCTTCGTCTTCGTCTTTTTTTTTCTCATATCTCTCTCTCTATTTCTATCAATGATGACTCTGATTTATTTTCTTTCGCAGCATAGTAAAAAGGGAGAATGAGATGCACTAATGCATTCTATTCTGGATGCTTTTGTTTCTTTTTGCTGTCGAATAGTCGTTTCGATTATCCTATTCCCGCTATGAACATTTTTTTTTTCCCTCTATCATCTAACTATTTCTCGTTCATTGAGCAAACAAAACCAGTAAATATACCATAAATGTATGTAATTTATGAAAATATGATGAATCACATTATAAATGATGAGCAGTTTTTTTTTTTCAAATAACTTACACAAATCCATGGATGTTTAAGAGCATCAGTTGCACTGATACGTCGACTTGGGTTAATATTAAGCATTGAATCAATTAAACGTTTTGCTTCAGTTGTTACTGTATCCCATTCAGGTGATGGATACTAAATAAGATAAAATCAAAGAATAAAAATACAAAACGATTATTTATTTTTGTTTTTGTTTTTTTTTTTTTGAATTCTTACATCATAAGCGCCAGCTTTTATTTGATTATATAAACGATGTTGATCTTCATCCCAAAATGGTGGATAACCGACAAGGAGAATATATAAAATAACGCCTAATATATAAAAACAAAAAAATAAATTTATTTATGTATGAAAATAACTTACCACATGCCCATATATCGACAGGTTTACCATAGGGTTCTTTTTTAAGTACTTCAGGACTAAGATAACCTGGAGTTCCAGCAAAACCTATTTATAAAAAAATTTTAATTATTCATTATTCAATAAACATTTTCTTTTTTTTTTTCCTTTTAATACATACCATACCACTGTGTTTGTTCACCATTGACTTCAATGGCAAGACCAAAATCAGCAAGTTCTTGAGAAAAAAAAAAAAAAAGAAAATTTTCATATCAAATTACTTTTCATATTCTATCAAATAGAAGGAAAAACCCAGTTCCGTTCATTTCCTATGCCGGAAATAACCTGCATAATTTTCTTTTTTTTTAAGAAGAAAAACAAGCTTCATAACCTTGAAAATCTTAAAATAAAGTTTTTTTTTTCTTTCTTTTATAAAAATACTTACTGACAGCTGCACCTTTTGTTTTACTAGCAAGTAAAAGATTTTCCGGCTAAATAAATAACAACAATAATATATATATATATATATATATATCAGTCATAACAAATAAAAATGTACTTTTAAATCTCTATGTACAATATTACTTTCATGACAATGCCGTACAGCTTCAAGTACTTGTTGAATACAATGACTAGAATAATATGATCATAAATAAAACAAAACAAAAAAGAAATGATTTATACCTGGCATCTGCTTCACTATAAAATTCTCGAGCAACAATATCTTCAAATAATTCACCACCGGTAACTCTAAAAGTTTAAAAATTTTATTTTATTTTTTTTTTTTGAAATTCAAGAAAAATAAATTTACAGATCGAATATTAAATAATGAAAATTTTCTTCAGGAATACTATCATGAAGACGAACTAAATAAAAAAAAAAAAAAAAAAAACAATAAATGTTTTTGTTTTGTTGACAAAAAAAAAACATCTTACCAATATTAGGATGTTTTAATTGTCGACAAATACGACCTTCTCTTTCGAGTTTTTGATGATCTATAAAAGAAAGAAAGAAAGAAAGAAAACAAAAAAATCATATTTGTGATTGATCTAATTTGTTTTTTACCTCGAGTGGATAATTTTTTTGTATTAATAATTTTTGCAGCAAATTCTTGTCCAGAACTTTTTTGTATACATCGTTTTACAATTGAAAATGCACCTCTTAAAAAACAAAAGAACAAAGAATATTAATACATATTCTTTCGTTATAGAATTGTAATTGATTGTAATCCATTATTAATGAATTCTTTTTTTTTTTTATTCTTTTTTCTTTCATTTAGAATGAGTTTTGTTTTTCCCTTTATTTTTCTTGCCATAGGCTAAAACGCCAACGCATTTTGTTTTTATATTCTTGTTATAATACTCTTGCATGGATGAACAGTCAGTTAACACAAAAAAAAAAAAAAAAAAAAAACTAAACAAACAAACAAAAGTCTGTATTCAAACACAATTGATTGAAGTTGTTTTATCATGCTAACTGACGTCTTGATGATAATGTCTTTTTCCTTTCTGATCTTGTCGTTCTCTCATTTATGATAATATACGTTTAGTCTAAGTCTTGAACGAGAACATATAACAGTGAGTTGTTTTTTTTTCTTCTCATAGTCAGTCACTAGTGTTAGTAGTAAAGGATGAGGTCAGAATACGAATGAGAAACAGAGAGAGAGAGAGAGAGAGGGGGGGAGAGAGAAAGAAGAACGACGATGTTGGAGATGATGATGATGATGATGATGAAGAGAACGAGAGAAAAATAATATCCGCGACATACAAGCGCGATTAATCAGGAAGGCGAGTAGCGGCATTCTATGAAGGTTCAACAATATAGCAACAAGGGGTGACAAAATGGTTGCTGCAATTTAGAACTGGACTCATGAGGAATAGTCAATATTTTTTACATTTATTTACGTCATCAATCAAACAGATGAGAAATGAGGGAAAAAAAGCACAAAAAAAAGGAAAAGAATAACAACAAATAAAAGCATATATATATATAAGAACTCACTTGCCAAGTTCTTCTTTAAGATCATATTCATCAGTGAAACGAGTGGATGTTGGGACTGAATTTGATATTGCTGTATTATTTGTAACAGCAGCCATATTGATAATAGACGTTGTTGTAGGAGGCGGCACCGTTATATTATTATCTTTCTTTGTATTTTTGTTGTTGCTATTGCTTAAATTATTATTATTAATAGTATTGAGAAATTTGTTGAATAGGGTACTATTATATTTCATACAGTCAATACGATAAAAAATGATTTTGATCGATCATATTAAATATGAATAAATAAATGGAGATGGACGTTGGGTCATCATCATTGCTAGATAAAGGAAAAATATTAGATCAACATGCGTATGTTAGTAGCATGCGTTACATAAACGCGACAAAACGAACAAGATTCTTGTCGTTGTTTGTCGCAATAGTAGAAGCAGTAACAGCAGATATAGAAAAAGCTTATTTCTGGTCGACGACACACGAAGAAGCAAACCCCCGATGCCGATTCAGGTGGAGAGAGGGAGAGAGACAGACTGAGCGAAGAAAAGACGAAGACGAAGAAGAAGAGAAGAAGAAGAAGAAGAAGGAGAAGAAGAAGAAGAAGAAGAAGAAGAAAAGAGGAAGAAGAAACGGCAGTTAGAGAAAAGTAGTAATAATAAAGAACGAGTATGTGCAAGCGCAAGACGATGCCTAGGCCAGTCAGAGACAGGAAGGAAAAGAGAGATCGCAATGGCCGTTGGGGATACACACGAATGCATAGTCACGAGTCACACAATTATCAACTAACATAATGTCGTTAGTTGTTAAAAAAATAAAAATTAAATCTTCTCAAATGAATTAGTTCGTAAAGTAAAATATTGATTTCGTTTTGTCATAACATGTTATTATTTTTTGTCAAAACAATAAATCCAAATCTTTTTCATTGGTTTATCTTAATTTACCAATCAGAATGTTGATATAAAAACAATAAAAAAAAAAAAAAGAAAAAGAAACTATATTTTTTTTATTTTACTGCCAAAATAAAAAATGATAGAAGTTATTTGTAACGATCGTCTTGGTAAAAAAGTTCGTGTTAAATGTAATTCTGATGATACAATTGGTGATCTTAAAAAATTAATTGCTGCACAAACTGGTACAAAAGCCGAAAAAATTATATTAAAAAAATGGTGTAAGTATTTATTTTTTTTTCTTTTATTAGACATCCATTGAGAATTCCTAACTATCTTTTCGGAGATTTAGATCTTCTTATGTAAAACTCGTAACATCAAAATCGAGAAATATTTATATCTGATAATTTAAAATGATACAAAAAAAATATAATTTGGGACTTCGGATGAATTTTAGATAATATCTACAAAGACAATATAACTCTTGCTGATTATGGTTTGTAGAACAATCTTTTATTTCAATTATTTATCATTTTCTATTTCTGTTTTTTTTTTTTCATAGAAATTCATGATGGTATGAACATTGAGCTTTATTATCAATAGAAAATAAAAAAGGACATCATCAGTTATTTGTTATATTCATATGAATGTTGATTAGAAATATATACAAGAAAAAAAAGAAATAGTTACTATTTTTCACTGTAATTATTAACGTGAAATAGGTTCACGAATAATATAACTGTGATCTCGAGTTGGATGCATTGGTTGAGCTGCTTGAACATAGACAACTCGATCACTAAAATTAGAATAATTAGTGTATGTATTAAATAAAAAGGAAGGAAGTTGTACCGAGGAGGACGACAACATGGCAAACAGCAACAAAGTAAATTAAGTGGAATACAACATAGACAAATATCTATATCATCCGAACATGGACAAATATCAGGCTAAAATATTAAATAAATTTACAAAGATTTTATTTGCAAAAAAAAAAAAAATTCTAATTAATATGTGAATCACAATAGTTTTAGTGATTTGTGATTAGATTTTCAAATTCAACATAAATGAATCCATATGAACTTAATTATAATCAAAATGATACCTTGAAATTTCTTATCTATTTTTTTATTTTACATTGACTAAGACTAGATTTTTTTTTCATTTCTTTTCTATGACATACTCATAATTATAATACTTATATTTATAATTCTATGAATTCAAAAGATTTTCATAAAAGAAAATTCAACTAATTTGTTCGCAATTTCACCTACGTACAATACACATAATATATAACAGCTGTTTATTGTTGCTTGTTGATATGCAAAAAGAAAACAAGTATAAAACGAATAAATGAATAATACGAACGGACTATGTTATTTGTCATTTTTTGTTATTTCGATTAGATCTGACAATTTCTTTTTTCTTTTTTGACGACATCACTATTCATTTTTCTTTTTATTTTCTTACTTAATTATCCATCGTTATAATACATATAATCATACTCAATTCATATTTTTGTACATGAATTTCATTCATAATAACAATAATAATAATAATAATAATAATAATAAGCATGTATTTTTTCTTTTTATCAAGCCACAACCAAAGAAAAGAAGAAAAAAAAATGATACATTATATTACGATTTTCTTTTACGTACATGAAAAAGAGATGTGTAGAAAAAAAAAAGAATACAAAAAAAAAAAAAAGAAAAGAGAATGAAGAAGAAAACTAAATTTTTAACCAAGTTAACATTATTATGAGCTTTTTTTTTGTTTTTTTTTTAATTTATATAGAATCGGTTAATTTTCGTTTTCTTGTATTTAATTGTATAAAGAAGACAATAACAGCGAATGAATATGATACACTGTTCGTTTAAATTTGAGTAGAAATCGAGCAGAAGAAAAAAGAAAAAAATATTTAGCACACGCAAAGAAGTAAAAAATAAAGTGTTAGTCATTATCATTGTCAAGACAAATTTAAATAATATTCGTTTACAAGAGAATAAGGACGGATCGATCATCAAATTAACAACGCAAGAAGAACAACGAGAAAAAAAGAAAATTCATTTGACTAGTTGATCGAACATTCGAAAAAAAGAAAAATACCATTTGAAGTAAATAAGATTTATGAAGTAAACAAATTGAATCGTTCTAAAAATAGAAAATAATTTTTATATTAACGGATCAAATAGATGTTGTATTAGACCGATCTAACCATAGGCTTTAATAATTGAATTTTTCATCAGATGAGACAAGAAATTTAAACTAGATAGAGATTGCATGTCTGTGATGTTGTTATTTTTCTATATCTATTTTCAAGAAAATACGTCATTGGTTAAATAGGAAATGTTCATTTAGAAAGATAGAGGAAATACTTTTGATGTTGAAAGGTGAGATATGAAATTGGAATTATTTCAGTTAAGCATAATCATGTGTGATAGTATATTTTAAGTACATATATCATTGATCATATATTTATTTAGTCTAATTATCTATTTTCCTAGGTTACATTATGTCACTATTTTTAATTGTTATTTGATATAATTTCTTGTCTAATTTTTATTATTCTCTAATTTATAGTTATATTATTAGAAAATATGTCATCTTGATCTGGTTGCTCTTTTTTTTTTAAAAAAAATAAATTTTTGAAAATGTTAAATTTAAGTTAAAGGCTTGAACTGTTTTCAGTGTATTTATATACCTCATTTGGTTCTACATAATGTACATAGTCTCGACTTAAAAGCAATACTTATCAGTTGGAAGATTCTTCTCGTTAGGATATTAAATTAATAAATATTTGGCCTAATCATCTTATTTGAATTGACATAATTTTCTTGCGTTCTTAAAAAAGACAATCTTCGACTTCATTCAAAGATTACTATGTAAAAAAAAACAAGTAAACAGACAACGATGGATAAACTCTAGTCTATTATAAGACAGATAAATCTAAGAAAAGTTGGTCTATTTGAATCTTGGGTGTCTACTATAGTTTTAATTCTCGATCTCATGAAAAAAAATTTTTTTGAAAACTAAATTCAGTACCAACCCCACAAACAGTTTGAAGATTTTCAGTTGACGAGCTTTTTAAACTTCGGCAATAGGTAAAAACGATTAACGGAGGGAATCACCCGAACTGATACCCACACTGGTTGAACTCATATTATACTTACAAGAAGTGACCACGCTTTGGGTGTATATATCAAAAAGCAGAATTTCGACGTAAAATTTTGCTTTTCAATATATACCTAAAAGCTGACAAGGGAACATTCCCAACTGTCACATCGCTTTTGAGTCGAGCGTATGCGCATCATGTGGATCCTACTGATCTATGAATAATCAGAAAAAAGTTCGTGCCGCTTGCTTATTACTACCGAGATATTTCATTTTTACTGTATGTATAAGCAAAAAGCTGTGGTCCTCTCAGGAACACTAGGAAAACTAAGTTTCGAATTTCAACTTGAAACTTTGTGCAAGGACAGGCCTCAATGAGAATAGTTTATTGGGAAAGTTTCAGATCTTTTGATTGCTCCTAGTCTGGAATGAGAACATTGGAATCTGCTGGTGTATATAAACTATTTTACCATAGCTGTATATTAGGATAGGAACAACGAAAAGATCTAAAACTTTCACAATAAACTATTCTTACTGAGGTCTATCTCTATGCAAAGTTTCAAGTTGAAATTCGAAACTTAGTTTTCTTAATGTTCCTGAGGGGAAGCACGGCCTTTTTTCTTAAACATACAGTAAAAATGCAATATCTCGGCAGTAATAAGCAAGCGACACGAACTTTTTTCAGAGTATTCATAGATCATTAGTGTCTACATGATGCCCATACGCTCGACTCAAAAGCGATGTGACAGTTGGAAATGTTCCCTCATGAGTAGAAAATTCACTAAAACGATCATAACTCAGTTCTAATAACCCATAGGAATGAGCTCTACTAGTGTCATCAAGACGTCCTTGTCGGTCCAATATAAATTCGAACAGCGAGTATCCATTCAGATGAGTTTTTTTTTTGTAAGACTCACAGAAAATTCATTTCAAAATAAAAAGGATAATAATATGGTATTTAACAAATAAATATAATATTCATACTTTTCGAACGATATGCATTCGATGTTGATGTCGATGATGTTAATGGTACAGGTAATTTTAATGTATGTGTCATTGTTGCTGTTGTTAATTTACTTCCTAAACTTGATAGATCCGGTGGTGGTGGTAAAGGTTGTCCTGTTATTGAATGTTGTTCACTTTTATTTGTTGATAATGAACGTGAATTAAAACTTGATATTGAACGATTATCATCATTATTTGATGATGATGATGATGTTTGTGAAGGTGGTGGTGGTAATAATAATAAATTATGATCATGATCATATAATGGTGATGTTATAGATAAATTACTTAATGTATTTGATGTTGATGATATAGGTGAATGATTTGATGAATTTGTTTCATTAATTGATATTTGTTGACGAATTGTTTTTGATGTTAGATTTGAAGGATTAAGACCATTTCTTAAAAGTCTTGAAAAAAAAAACAGAATAGAAAAATTTTTTTTTTCTTTTATTATAAAAAGCAATATATACTTTAATGGTGATACATCATTTTGTGATTTAAGATCAATACTAATATCATTATCTGTTGACGTTGATGAATAATGTGAATGACGATCTGATTTTTGATGATTTGATGATGATGATGATGATGTATTTGATTGAGTATTATTACTTGTTGAACTAGTTGATATACTAGTTGAAGATGATGATGATGATGAACCAAACAATACTGTTGTTGGATGTTCTTGTGATTTTTTTGTATTATTTTCTATTTCATTATTATTTAATAATAAATCATCACGACTTGTTGAATGTAAATGTTCATCATGTAATAAAGATGAATTATTTTTACAACCATTAACTAATAAATTATAAGCATGTTTAGCTTCTTCACTTATATCACCTATTTGTATTGATATGAAAGATTAGAAAAATAAAAATAAAAATAAAAATAAACAAACCATTTTGTAAACGTTGTTCAAGTTCACGTGAAAATCGACCAGTTTCTTCATTGGATTTTTTTATTGGTGATTTTTTTAATAAACGATTATGATTTGATGGAGATCGACTGTTCGAATCTGAACAAAAAAAAAATAATAATATGATGATTTCTTCTTTGTTTAGTTATTTCAATTGATCATTATTTTTACCTGTCATGCTATCCGGTGGAGATTGATTTAAGCCGATTGTTCTTGAAGGTATTGGTGATAATTTAAGCTAAAGAAATCGAAAAAATTAATGAAAAACGATCCCTAAGATTTTATTTGACACATTAAGACTTCAACATACAATAAACTATTTGATTTCTAACGTATAGCACAAACGTTATGGCGACAAAAAAGAAAAGGACAGAATATCGAATCTATTTCGATTTCATATTTTTTTTAAGAATTCAAATTTATCCTATAAGCTGTTCGTATCTTTGCGAATTGTTTCAGAATTTTTGGAAGAAAACAATTTTCGAAGTAAAAAAAAACATCCGATAAAAGTCCTGTTCTAATAGACTTATGACATTCTTATTTTTTAATTTCTACACAATTTTGTTCTATATTCGATAGCATAACTGGCTTTTGAAAACATGATTTTCCAAAATTACCGACAGTTATCACATTCAAGCTTTTTTTTTCTCGTAAACAAGAGCCTCGAGAACCTTGTAAAGGTCGTAAAGGCATAGAGCATAACCTTCTCTTTCTATTGGTATTAAATAATGCACTTTTGGCATCGACATTACAAAAATCAATAGACGTCAGCAATGAATTAGTAATCACTGACTAGACGTGAATTAATAAAGATAATCTTTTATACTTAAGAAAAGAAAAAAAGTATCAAGGTCTAGAATAATTTATTCTAGGTCATCCGTTATATTCGAAAAAAGTGCTTCCGTGATGGAGCATTCATTCTCTCTTTAGGGAAATTCCTGATTACGAGTTCATATTAGAGAACATCACAAAGAGTTCCTCTTCGCTGTGCTTTAGAGCTCGTCTAATCGGATTCGGATCCAAAAATTTTGGATTCAACAAATTTTATTTTCCGCTGATGGTAGTCTTTGATTTGTAATACATTTTACAAAATAGATAAATTCTTAAAATGAAGATGTTCTACTAAAATGATTCTGATGTAATTAATTCGAATTGAAAAACCAATCTGAATTCTGTACGTCAAATAATGAAATTCTCAAAAAAAAAACAAACTTTCTCATAAATGCCTGACATTTCTAAAGTTGTAAATCTTTAAATGTTAACAACTTGTATTCAAGCATTATCCTTTTCATTTTTTCTTTGTCTTCGAAATGTCATGTACTGGAAAAAAAACATGATTCTATTGCAATGTGTTTTTTTTATTATTTATTATACGAGTTTTATTTTCCTTGAATATTTTTTTGTTTGACTTACATTAGTTGTTGGAGATTTTGGTGATGTTGGTTCACTTCGTTCAGGTTTAGGTGGTGGTTTTAGTAAAATATCATTATCTTCTAATAGATATGATGTTGTTTCAGGTTCAGAATATATTTCTGTA